GGACTCAGGGGCTCAATGTCTCCTACAGTGAATTCGGCTAGGCCTTGTAACAGAGGTTGGGCTGAACCCATGTGGCTGATGTGTAGATCAATGTTTGGGTCTCACGCCATACAAGGATAACCAACTGGACAGTAGATTGAAGGGCTAGTGAGCAGATAGGCTTAATGGGCCTAAAGCCCAATTCGAACTGGCTTAATGAGATTAATTAAAAGAGGGCGGTTCTAGGATTTATATCAGCAGATAGGATAAGGGATTAACCCTATCCACTCAAAGAGTCTAGATCCAAATAAAGATTTGGATCAGGAAACTCCTAATTAGATTAGGAAGGCTGATCTTTATCTGCAGATAAGATAAGGGATTATTCTTATCTCTTAAAGAGAGTCCAGATCTAAATTAAAGATTTGGATTAGGAAACTCATAATGGGAGTAGGAGAACCTCTTTTTAAGGCTATAAATAGAAGAGCAAGGTGAACCTCTTGATCATCTAACAGACTGCTGAATTCCAGAGAGAGACAACATAGTTTGACTGCACTGTCTCCTTCTCTCCTGCTTTTGTTGCTATACCAGTTCGATCTCCACCTGTGGGAGCGATCAAGAAGGGTTCTTGATATTACCTTTTGGTAGAAAAGGTAATCTAAAGTCGTGCTCACTAGCCCTCCATCACATTCTTGCTGAAGAATTCGGTTCTTGCTGAAGAACCGTCCTGTTGATTCTGTTTCATCTTGCACCGTGTCATCTTCGGTGGAAGCAGTCTTTGGATTTTTCCTTGGGCGTGAACACCTTCATTGGAGGTTATTATTACTTCGTATTAGGTATAACCCTCCACTCCCTTTTGGTTTCAGATCTGGTCCGGTTTGGTTTCAAGATTGATCTTTGAAAATGCAGTTTTCTAAAATAGGGAATGTGATTCCCACATGGGAGAGAGAGAAATTTTTGAAATTTCGCCCAACCTTCCTGCAGGTTTCAGCCATCCATATGATGGATCTCTCATCCCTTCACTGTGGACGAATTTATGCATCACTTATCGCATACAGAGATAATGATTATATGAAATATTTGGATTATTTTAGACCAGGCACTGAGGGGCCTGGCAATATATTACCCATTACGGAAGTTAGGTCGTTAGTTCGTTTTGCTTAGCTGTACAGTTTGTTATCCAGCTGGACTTCACCTTGTATTCTCTCTATATATATATTCTCTCAATAATCAAAAGGAATATATAGTTTTCTCTCCTATGTTCAGTTTTAGATGGAATATACAGAGCCCATCTAAAACTGAACAGAGGAGAGAAAACTGTATATTCTATTTGATTATTGAGAGAATATACATAGAGAATACAAGGTGGAGTCCAGCTGGATAACAAACTGTACAGCTAAGCAGAATGACCAAATGGCCTAACTTCCTGTAATGGGTAATACAATACACCTAGCTTTGCAATTAATAAGAATAACCAATTTGCCTCTTGTTGTTTATGCTGTTGTCTTATATAATATGTTTCTATTCTATGTTGTAATTAATCCCATACCATCAATTGCAGGTGTCAAAAGACATTCGTGGCAACAACTCCATGCAGGTGTCAAAATAGCTGCCCGATATTAATTTTAGTATGCATTGTTTTTGTTTTTCTGTCTTGTAATCTAGAGATGAGGAGTTGCAGCAGTTGATTTGCGAACTGAGGTTAGGACACTGAGCCCATAGTGTGTTGTTTTATTCTGTCATTGAACTTTAACTGGTCCAAGAGTTTTTCAAACTTGGTCAAGCCAAAATTGGTTTAGTTAATCGTCGCCTGTGTGCTTTGATGAAATGCACTGTTGCCTTCTCATACTCTGCAACTTTGCATGTGTGGTCTTCAAGTAGAAGGTCCTACTTCAGCTCACAAGCATGAGTTCAGCCAACTCTAGTATTTACAAACTTTAGGAGTAATGTCCCACATCAATAGTCTGCACAACTGAGTATAATCATGACCATGTCCTCCAAAATTTTGAGAATGTCAAGGGTTAATGGTTAAGGATGCAATCAGAAATCTAGAGTCAGACAAGTCTCCTGGACTAGATGGTTTGACTAATCTTTTCTATTTAAAATGTTGGGACTTTATCAAGCATGATCTTCTGAGTGTGTTTCAGAACTTTCACAGTTCGGCATCCCTACAGAGAAGCCTGAGATTGCTGGAGCTACAAACTTAAAAGACTTCAGGCCCATTAGTCTTCTAAATAGCTTCTATAAGATTCTTTCAAAGGTGTTGGCTGAGAGGATGAACAAAGTTCTATTGAATGTAATTTCTGACAATTTGTGTGCATTTGTCCTTGGTAGACAAATGTTGGATAGTGTCTTGATTGCAAATGGGCTAATTGATTCTAGGAGGGATGGAAAACCTGGTCTGATCTGTAAATTGGATATTGAGAAGGCCTATGATCATGTCAATTGGAGATGTCTGGATTTTGTCTTGGCAAAGATGAATTTTGGTCAGAGGTGGAGGAACTGGATAAAGGTTTGTGTCACCTCTCCAAAATTCTCTGTCCTCGTTAATGGGCATGTGGCGGGTTTCTTTGAAAGCTCTAGAGGAATTAGACAAAGGGACCTTCTCTCCCCTTTACTTTTCATTTGTCTGATGGAAGTGCTCACTCGATTCAGTAAGCTAACTGCCTTCAGGGATGGTTTTGAAATCTGACGCCGGGGGGGTGGGGGTTCACATTCTCCAGTTTGCTGATGACACTCTTTGTTTTATTGATGTTGCGCCTTATCAGTTGGAAGGGATGCTTGGAATTCTATGCTGGTTTGAAGTTGTGACTGGGCTGAAAGTAAATCTAGGGAAGAGTGTTGTCTTCCTTGTCGGCCAGGTTGATAACCTGGAAACCTTCGATGAAGTGTTGGCCTGTCAGGTTAATTATCTCCCAGGAAAGTGCCTGGGGCTCCCCCTTGGAGCTTTGTGTACTTCTGTCTCGATCTGGGAATCTGTAATTGAAAGGACGGAAAGGAAGTTGGCTTCTTGGAAGGCCAAATACCTCTCCGCTAGAGGTAGAGTGACACTTTTGATGGGTACTCTCTCAAATCTCCCCACTTGTTCCCTGCCAAGGTGGGTAAAAATTGGAAGCTTTTCAGAGGAATTTCCCACTGGGTAGGAACCAGGTGTGCTTGCCTATAGAGGAAGGAGGTCTGCGTTTAAAAAAATTAAAAACTTTTAATACTGCCCTCCTGAGTAAATGGTTGTGGAAATTTGGAACTGAGAGGAATGCTTGGTGGAGTCTAATTGCAGCTAAATTTGGGGTGGATTGGGGAGATTGGAGGTCTTTGGACCCTCTGTAGAATTGGGTTTGTTCTCTATGGAAAGGAATTCTTAAATCCCTCTCGGTTTTCTCAACTGGGTTAGGTTTTAAAATTGGTAAAGGAAACAAACTGAAGTTCTGGAAGGGACCCATGGTGCATGGATATCCCTCTTGCAGAAGCTTTTCCCCTCCTTTATATCAGTGTGCTGCAAACCCTGAAATCTAGTTGCCGAATCCTATGATATGAGTGGTGCTCCATCTCCTGGAGTCCTCTATTTAGGAGAAATCTTTTTGACTGGAGCTGGAACCGTTTGTGGAGTTCATGCAAGTTCTACAGAGGCAAAGCATTGTAGTTGATTTGGAGGATGATTGGAACTGGAGGTGGAGTGCGTATGGTGTATTCTTAATCAAGTCTGGCCTCAAAGCTTAGTAAGACTGGGGTTGCTGACTTCCCAAAAAGACAGGTGTGGAACCCAATCTGACCTTCCAAGGCAAACTTTCTTGTGTGGGTTCTGACTGTAAACAAGGGTCTTTCAAGAGTCAACCTGGATAGGAGAGGACTACAGATCCCTGATCTGAATTGTGGGTTGTGTGGACGCTGATTGGCATGAAGAAAAAGGACCTGCTCCGGAGCACCATACCTGTTCTCCTGCTGGAAGCTAACTGGCCTGAAGAAAAAGGGGAAGCTGATCTGGAGCACCATACCTACGGCTATTCTTGTGACTATTTGGTCTGAGGGAAACAGTCACATTTTCTGTAATAGAGCAAAAAATATAAATGACTTGATACAGATATCTGTTTGTAAACTTACATCTTGGTTGTCAGTTAGACCTGAGTTTAAGCATCAAAATCTATTTCAGATGCTTCACTCTCAGTCAGTTTGGAGTCTGGAATGAGTTTTTCCCCCTCTTTCTCCGGTGAGGTGTACCAGGAAGTTGTTGTACCCTTCTCTCTCTTTTTCAATAAATTCTTACCTTACCTTTCAAAAAAAAAAAAGAAAAAATCCAATTCCACCTATAGAGGTGGGCCTTTTGATTCATTGGAGTCCTTGGCATTAATCCAAGCTTTTAGTACCATTAGCTTGTAAAACAAGCTTGACAACAGTAGTTCTTTACTCAACTAAGGGCGTGACATCTGAAAGTACAATAATTACATTGGAAAACAAAAATTGTCAAATATCAATTTTGACCCCATGTATGAGAAATTTTGTTTGTGCTTTGAGAGTGTTATTGGAAAACAAAAATTTATAAGATTTATCTTTAAGATACGAGATAAGAGAAAACAAACACCCATTTTCCTCTTAAAGTTGTAAGATTCCTTTTAATAGGGATGCAAACAAATCAGATCGGATTCAAATCATGGTATATACGAATTCGATCCGATTCTATGAACAATAGATCCGATCGGATCTCACAAACATTGATTTGAATTCGAATCCGATGAGGAAGTCGGATATTTGGATCTAATCCGATCCGATTTAAATTTTTAAAAGAATTAATAAATTATTAAAAGAAAATAAAATAAAATATAATAATTTAAATAAAGAAAAACAAAAAATACAAGTATCTTTTCAACTATTTCCATCATATATATACATTTTTTTTATGAATTCCATCATATATATACATGTTTTGATAAAAAAACAAATAATATAACAAATTTACAAAAATGCAATATAAATAACATATATATATGTGTGTGTGTGTGTGTGTGTTATTATATAAATAAATAAATTGTTAGATAGTGTTGAAGGAAGGTTAGATCCTTCATATGGATGGCCTAACCATGCTAGATGGTTGGGCGAAATTTCAAAAATTTTCTTGCAACCTTCGAGAATCGCATTCGTAGTTTTAGAAAAACTGCATTTTACAAGGATTGTTCTTGCACCAAAACCATACCAGATTTGAAACCAAACTAGAGAGAGAAGTATACCTTATATGGATTCCACAAATGTAGCTCCCAAAGTGGTCATTCACGCCCAAACTGAATCCCAAAACCAGCCTCCACTGAAGATGGCACAACTTGGAATGAAGTCAGTTCAGCAATGCAGTTTTCAGCAAAACTGCAATCCAACTCTTTGGATCATACAAAGGGAGGTGAGCACGAAATAATTATAATATTTTCTTGCAAAAGTCAGAAATCAGAACTGTTCAAGATCAGTCACAAGATGGAGAACGAATTAGGGTTTTGGGGGCAGCAAGAGTAGAGAGAGAGAACTGAAAGCAGATGTGTAACTAGAGCAGTTCGATCTCTCCTTTTATAAGCCTTAAGTAGCACCACTCCTAATCGAATTAGGAGGTTCCTAATCCAAATCTTTATTTGGATTTGGCCTCTCTAAGTGGATAAGACTTATCCTCTTATCCTAATGGATGCTCCAAGCCCTTATCTAAACCCATATTCGCTCAACTCAAATGATTGCTTAAACTGTCATGTGACCACTTGATTAATCCAATTAATCATGGGCGGCCCATTTAGCAAATGGTTCACGTCCCTAGGTAGTTACTGGCCCATTTAGGTTCAATTTGTATGGCGTGGGACCCCAACAATGACCTTACATAAGCCCACATGGGTTCGACCCAGCCTCTGTGAAAAGGCTTGGCCGAATTCATTGTCAAGTACAGTGAACCCCTAAGTCCATCAGCATGGGCTCTTAATGGGCCCAACATTTATAGTAAACCAATTTTAATTTTGACTACAAACCAAATGAACCCTTAGCTTTCATTTAACGCAGAAAACACTGGTAAGAGGCTAGTGTTTATTTCTATCAATTAACAGTTGTTTGATAATTCGTTTGAGCAGATAAGGAGGCAATCAACCTTGGACCTTCGAATATTTCGATAGCGCTGGGACCAAGCTATAAGAGAAGATAAAGACTGGGTTGATCCATTTCAAGGGAGCCAGATGCATCATGACCGTGAGAATGACTATCCTGAATAGACTTAAGACTTGTTGATTTTTCTTTTCTATTACCTCGTTATCTGTTCAACTATCCTTTTCTATAATTAATTCATTTTTTTACTAGCCTTTTTGTTTATTATTCTGTGGATCTTTTGTTCATGTTGTAAATGTTGAAAGTCCAGTTTAATTCCTACCTTAATTTTTGTACTTAAAGCGAGTCGCTTAAGCTCCAATGACAGAGATTAACACGAAAACTTTTCAGTTCATTTTGTTCATGAAATACAATAGCAAAGTCATTCTTAAGTTCATTCTATAAAAATATATATAATATTTTGATGCTTTTTAATTTAATTTATTTATACTACAATTGCAATTTGAGTTTAATTTGAATAATATAAATGAATCAAATTTGGAACTACCTTGGCTCTGATGATGCACGATCTGGAAGCTCCTAGTTAGAAGATGACATGGACCTTAGTCATGTAGCGAGTTGGATTAAGCTGCAAGACAGAGGATTAGAGCACCCAGGGCGGTTAACTTGGCGAGGTTGCTTCAATGCTTAAGTCAGTACAGTGTCATGATTGCGAGTTAGAATCTGAGTGCTAGAGAGCTTGGATGCAAGTAATCGCACGTACCTGGACCATGGAGGAGTTGATGCCTTTATATAATTGAGTTATTACAGGTTTCCCGGAACAGTTCCGAGATCTGCAGCCTGAATGGACGAGATCCGTTTCCGCTTTAGTTGGGGAGTAAGTATCAGTCAATGAACCTCATTATCACCACTCGATTTGGACAGGGAGAATATAAGGCTTGCCGTTATGCGGAATGATCCCGCAATATTTGAAGTCTGTTGGGAAGTTACTGGTATTTATTACGTGTCACTTCGGTTCTCAGGCCTCGAACTCGATTGGTTGTCGAGGTAACCTTATGCCGAGCTCCGCATACCATTGATTAGGCTTCCCTTGATGAGTTGTCATCCTGCATGCAGATCACGTCCACATGATTTTTATTTATTAGGTCGTGCCAAATTACTCCTCATCAATTGCCCCCACTCCTCGTAGCAGGGGTCCTAACCCAGCGTAGGGAGTTCACGACGAGCTTAGGTGGATTTGGCATGGAATCTAGGTGATGTGGAGGGTGAGTCCACATTCCTTTGTTTTTTCCTTTTGATTACGTTGTCCTTTTCTTTAATATGTCTAGCCTTAGCTTAGATAGCCTTTTAGACGGGAGCGGCGAATCCATTAGGGCTGAGGTGGGCACCTCAACTCAGACCGTGGATCCTAGTCCTACCAAGGTGGTCACTTCAGGATAGGATGTGGTCCTCAATCCGCCCGAGGTGGACTCACCTTGGCGGGAGCGAGAAGCTTCTGGTAAATTGTCTTCCACCTCCCACCGAGGTTGGCTGCCAGATAACTTCGGCCCATCAATAATAACGGCGGATAGGCTTCTAGCCTTAGTAGCCCGGTACAGACTCCCTATCGGCCTTGTGTATAGCATCCCCTTAGGCAACTTTCCTTAGGATCATGATCACAATGAGATCGTGGTCTTCGAGGAGCAGCTCGTAGTCGGTCTACGTCTCCCACTTCACCCTCTTATAATCGAGATTGTTAAATTCTTTAACATTACCATAGACCAACTACACCCGAACTCTATCCGTAATATTGTAGGGACCATTTCTCTTTTCCATGACTACAACCATCACCTTGACCTCGACGCCTTCTCTTCGATCATTTTCATTAAGAAAAACATGTCATGTGTTCTGCCCGAAGACAGGCGAACTTACTACTCTCCTTGTCCCGGGTACAAACTATTGCATGAGCTCCCTAATAAGGTTCCGGCCTAGAAGAGGCGTTACTTTATGGTTCGCAACACCGATGGGTGACCCTTCCCGACTCACTGGATGGCAGCCATCCAAGACCCCGACGTTAGACTGGACCTGAAGACAGGGAGGAGGTCCGATCTTGGGCAGAGCTCGGCTTGAAGTTCGAAAACATCGTGACCAAGGAGACGCTCGTGCAAGTCGGCCTAAATCCTCCTGGTAGGTCGCTACTTGCTGTACTTTTTCTATTCGTTTTACCTCGGTACTGTATCTGACTTAGCTCGTTTCTTGTTGCAGCTGCCATGGACGACATCCCTGTCGATGAGCTCTTCGGAAGCATGAAAAAGGGGAAGAAGAAGAAGAGAGCCTCCAAAAAGGCTCGCGTCGAGACTAAAGTAGCCACAATTGAGGTTGTCGTTCCTAAGCCCGAGCACCCACCTATCGTCGAGCAGCCTCTCGTAATCGATCTGGTCGAGGAGGACTCGGGCAAGGCCACCCCACCCCGCATACCCGAGGAGGCTACGTCTTCAGAGCCTTTTCCAGCGGCCGCCACTTCTTCGAGCAGCGATGCTCCAGTTCGGAGCATTTTAACTCTGAAGTTCGGCCTTCTCAAGAGCAAGGACGCGGTGTTTACTGAGGAGATCGCTCGTTGGGCCGACTTGCCAGTTGCTCAGCTCGGGGCCCGAGCAGCCACACACTGTATGGTGGTATGTTCTTGAACTAATCTTTCAAATTGTCTTGTACTTAGATTTTTTGTATACTGATACTCATTTTCTTCTCTTGGCAGGTGAACTCCTCCATCCATGCCTTGGCTTACCAGTCCGAGGTGAACCTAAAGTGAGCTCTCGAAGCCAAGGAGTCTTCCTGAAATGCCTACGTCGAACTAAACTTAGCTCGCAACGAAATCAACCAACTGAAGAACGACGCACGAGCTAAGAAGGAGCTGCTAACTCTGCTGATGTCAGAGAAGAATGAGCTCGAAGAGCGTAAAACAGCATTGAAGAGGGAGATCGAGAACCTCGAGGCCCACGTGAAGGAATGAACCGAACTCCTGCTTCAGGCGATAGAGGAGGCCAAGGTTAAGGCGGTTGAAGAGTACAAGTCATCAGTGGAGCTTTGGGAAAGGTTGGTCGAGGCAGGGACAGCAGGCTACTACAAGGGGTTCAAACTCAACAGGTGGTTGACCCGGCGTGAATTTCCCTACCTCGATCTCAGTGCTATCACCACGTCGAAGATCACCAAAGAGATGGCCATTGAAGCTGCCAAGGATCGGACTCTAGTGATGACGACCTGCTTATGTTAGACAGTTGTATGCCCTTAGCTTCAATCAGAATTATGTACATTATGAATTTATTGTAAATGAATAAAGTACTCATTTGATTCATGTTTTTGTGGTGTGTTTCTGTGTAATACCCTTAAACTGGACACTTAATGAGACTTATGTTAGTTTAGAATGTTCACAGC